ATTCAACCAATAGCATACAAGGTACTTATTTAGATTCACATTGCAATGAGGACCAGCATGAGCAAGCTGTCAGGTAAGACAGCTTGGCCAAGTGGCCCCGACCCCCTTGTTGCAATCCTTTTTATCCTCAAAAACTGCAAACCACAGACATGACTCCCAGGATTAGCAACTGATTCATAACGTCCTTGGTGCTAATTTTACCATACTTCCCTGTTCCATTTCTCCTGTCACACTCCTTCTATCAGCACTTTACTTTGTCCATCTATTTTCCAACTTCCTGTCCATGACTGAAAACTTTAGTCCACATAGCAATTTTATTTATTGCTCTGTCACACTCCTTCTATCAGCACTTTACTTTGTCCATCTATTTTCCAACTTCCTGTCCATGACTGAAAACTTTAGTCCACATAGCAATTTTATTTATTGCTCTGTCACACTCCTTCTATCAGCACTTTACTTTGTCCATCTATTTTCCAACTTCCTGTCCATGACTGAAAACTTTAGTCCACATAGCAATTTTATTTATTGCTCTGTAATTTTATTTACTTTATTGCTCTATAGGCTTGTTTTATTTGTATGTTACAATTAACAAAGGCCTTAAGTATTAATAAATCAGTTTTTTTCCTCTCACAAAGGGAATTCCTAGAAGCTTGGCATTCTGATAGATCAGCCATCAACAGATACGTAGAGATAAACACCATCTATATTCCATTTAAAAGATGTAATCGAAAGTCAAGGAAGAAAACAAACAGCCCAGGATACACTCTCCTTAGCAACCACTACCTAGATAAGCAGGAAAAAGCACTAGATAGGAATGATTTCTGTTGAGGAAACAATACTGTAAACCAGGAAAAAAAACCACACCCCAACCAAGGTTGGAGGGCAGGCTACTATATACAAACAACCAGCAAACCCCATTCTCCTGTGCACTGATGTTACCTAGCCTGGTAGTGAAATGTCTGCAGTAAAACAATCTTAGAAAACACTAAGAATCCAACAATATCACTTTAGGCCCTTTACCTGGGGAAGCTGCCCATCCCTGCTGCAAGAGAAAAGGTTCATATTTGTAAAAGCTTGTTATATACAGTAATTCCAGCTTATTTCAAATAAAATATGGTATAAGAATTTTTTTTCTCTGCCAAGTTTCTAGGGGAATACAGGTAGTCCTCACTTAACAACGACAAAGAGACTGGAAAATTGGTCATTAGTGGGGCAGTTGTTAAGCGAGTTACCACATAATTGGACCTGATTTTACAACCATTTTTATGATGGTTGTTAGGCAAATCACCATGGTAGTTAAGTGAATCGTGGTTATTAAGTGAATCCAGCTTCTCCAATGGACATTTTTTGCTGGAATTTGCTTAACGACCACATGATTTGCTTAACGATCATGGTGATTTGTTTAACAACCATCATAAAAAAGGTCACAAATTGCAATCATGTGACCGTGGGGGGGTGCAACAGTTTGTGATCGTTGTGTGAATACAGGTTGTAAAGCACTTTTTCTGAGGCCATTGTAACTTTGAACCATTGTTAAACGAACAGTCATTAAGCAAGGACTACCTGTAATTTGCTTTTAGCATCTTTCTCCATATATATTACTACAAACCTAGTTTTAGATGAGTCTTTGTGAATAGGTAGATCTGTTTACCCAGTTAATCCAGTATTGCTTAACCATACCAGTTTCCAGAATTCAGTTCCCAGAATTTTCAGTAGTCTGCCTGGGGACTTCTGGGATTGATGTCTACAGATCAGGAGGCTGTTTGGGTTGGAAAAAATTGAGTTAACCAAATGATACCAGGAGTGTGCTAGTCGGTCTTTAAATGTATATGTACCATAGGTCTTCTGAGGAAATAAGTAATATTTGCTTTAATATTAACTGAGGCAAAAACTGTGTTTCTTATACTAGGGATCGTAGTCTGGAGTTTGTGTCAGAACGTGGCAGTGTGCTAGTATTTTTACCAGGTGAGGTTTTGTTTTGTCTTTTAATACAGTAAGAACTGGTTTTCTAACTGGGGAGAAAATGTTTACCTTGTCTGTTGCAAATAATAATA